ACTCATGCGCAGCTGGGTAGGTTGGGGTACTGACAAGCTCTCAGTGCTTACCTAAAGTTCTCTGAGTCCTGTCTCTATGGTAAATATATAAAACACCATGGAAACATTGACAATTGGGCAAGTAGACCTGTTGTCAAAAGGTGTTAGGGCTCCTACTAATCTCTCTTCAGGGGGCGAAAAAAATCCTCCCTGCATACAAACTTGGCCGCTACATTAGTTACTCAGCTGCTTGGCAGCTCTTTATTGGAAATACTAGGAACGGAATACGACCCTAATAAAGTTGACGAAAATTTGGCAAGTACTTCAGTAAGCCCTTGATTTGAACCTAGGACGAGCATCGCACATGCCAGGGGTGCTTTTGTCATCACTGGGATGGAGGTTTATTTTTGCGTTTTTATTGATGGTAGGTAGAGAATACTTTTTGGCAAGGATACTGGAGGCATGAATATACCTTTAATGTTTTGTTGGCCTGACTTCTGCTAATTCTGTCCTTTTGACTAGCTCTGAAGGGGAGAGAAGGTGCTGCTCTTCTGGTTGTAGAAAAGCTATTGAGGGCTAAATGGCACTGTAATGCTGGTCATGTCTTGGAAGTAATTTTCTGATTCTGCCCATTGCTTGCTTTTTGGAAAGTATTCTGCACTTGCAAATTAATTTGGAATTAAAAAAAAAAAAGGATTGTTGCATACTTGCAATGGAAGATTCAGAAATGTTCCCATCTGATAGCACTAGTACTACTCCCTAAATACTACTAAACTGCCGTCAGTTTTCATAAAATGTCTTACCCTTTCTGTGGGGATCAGCTTGGCACTGGCTGCTTCTTTCCTTGTTCCCTCAGCCTGCACCAGTCAACACTTTTGTTGTTCTTATGTGGTTATGGCATAACTGTTCCCTTTTTTTTTTTTTTTCCCTTCCCCTACTTTTTTTTAAATAAGCTCTGTCTTTAAAGAATAATAAGGTACAAGTTGTCATTTGGCTGAGAGAAAGGGAGCTTTGTGGATATTTATAACATGCCTAATGGCATTTCAGAGCCCCGAGGAAAAACAACGCAGCTTCAAATCTTTAGCTATGTCGGATGTGGCAGGCGGGCAGCGATGCTCTTCTCAGTTCAGCTGGGGAGGATGTACTGAGCAGGGGATTTTTTCCAAGCTGTTACTTAACTGATATTAGCATTTGAAGGCATATAAGGCGTGACCTTTAATCCTGTGTGTAGACTAACTGATCTGCTTGCTTGAATGCTTCATTGTAATGATGCAGAATGGAAAGGATTGCATCAGACCAGAGAAAGAAATCTTCTGTCGCCAGAACTTGCATATTTAGGTGTGTGGCTACAGAAGCCGCACTGTAACATCTGCAAACTCAGAGCATTCAGATGCACCTCCCTGATCTCTCCTCCAACTCCTGTCCAAATTACCTGCACCAGGGATTACCCTCCAAAGCACAAGCTTTCCTGTATGAGCTGATAGATAGTAGCCCCACAGCGAGAAAGGATAGCCCCAGCTTTCAGTCTTCCCCAAAAGTGTAGTCACATGTGGACTTTTTGCCATTCGCTTCCACAGCAATTCAAGCAGTGGTGGTAAATTAGTTTTATGGGGCATTAGTGGAAGAGGTTGGTGGGTTTTATTACATTCATGTGAAAAGTTGGAGCCAAGAATGTAAAATGAAAACTGAAGATGAAGAGTACTGGAAAGTCGAACAGGGTTTCTGAAGCGACCGAGTGTGTGTATGTGATACTGTGTAAAGTCCGAAAGAGTCTACAGTCTAAACTGGTAACATACTTCAGAATAAGTTTTGAAGTTACAGCTGTTGGAAGAGGCTCCAAAGAAGTCAACCACGCAGGAAGGCTAGCTGAGAAATAGCTAACTAGATGGTACAAATGTACCAAAGCTACACTGTGATTTTTGGTGCAGTGAGTTTTCTTGCAACGTGTATTCAGCTTCCGTCTCTTTGATGAGATGGGCTTGCAGCATCAGCCTCGGGGACAGGACTGAAGTTATGGGATCTGATACATCGGAAAACCAGCTTGCAACTGCTCTTCTTTGTTGAAGAGAGCGCTTGGTCAGCCTGCAGGGGCGGTGGGGCTGTGTCCGGACATGTATTCAAAAGGATACCAGTGCAAACACAAAATATTAATGCTGTTATGTTCTTTGGTGGTGATTGACAGCTCCAGACAACGAGATGGCATGTTACTCTGCCAGCAGCCTGTGGAAAGCTGTTCTGACGTAGCCAACCCACTTGGCAGCAGAGTCATGGCTGGCCCGCAGCGCCTGATGACTCAGTTAAGTCCTGGAGTTGTTATTGCAGTGGAAGAAGTCGTTCTGTTCTTTAATTCCTTTGTGCAGCCCATAGATCAGTTGGATGGTATCCTGCCAAGGCCCATAGTTTGTAGAAATTATAATGAGAAAGTCTTTTGGGGCTGGGTGAGTCGTGACTGTAGATTCTGCGTTGGAGCTAATAGTCCAGAACAGTTTTCTTCTGCCATGAAAAAGTCTACTGGCACTTCAAAACAAATTTTACTTGCTTATCACTCAGCGTAGCAGCTGGAGGCACTCTCTTGCTGCTAGCCCACCCATGTGAGCAGGACGGGGCACGTCTTCATCCTTTTTTCCCCTCGGTGATGTATCATGCGCTTTCATTACCCAAGAGAGCAGATCCCCAGAGCTCTGGTCTTCATGTTTCTGTTGCATACATATGCAAGGAACCTGTGGCTTCATCCTCCTCGCTTGTCTTCCCTTTGTCAACCTGTTGTTCAGAGGTTTGTCTTGCTTAGGTGCGGATAGGGTTCATGTGCTGCTGTTTCCCAAACCAAGGTCTAAGCGGGAGCAACAGTGGTTTTATTTTGCACCTCGTTAGGTTTTTGGTTGTACACAGTCATAAATATGTGAGTTGATGTGCCAAAAATCTCCCTGGAGGGTTAATGTCTATAAGATGGACAAATACGTAACTTGTAAGAGTCTGTTGTGCTCCAGGAGTTTGCACAAATGCACTTTTGCTTCACAGAGACTGTGGTGGTTTCCCTTAATTATGCTTATGGCCAAGTAGAGTTTTGGGCCATTTCGAGGTACACAGCATTGCTTGTCACTATTGGAAACCGAGCTTTGCTAGGAGAGGTAGCAGTGTGGAGCTTGATTCTGAATCTCAGCTTCTTTCCTGAATTCTCTCATCTGAAGTTAAGGGCGCAAAGGTGCATTTCGTTATTATCCAGTGTAGTAGGAACCATGCAGTCCTCTTCTTTTTCAGTTTGTGTGTTTCAAGCATCCTCCTAAATGATCACAAAAATCCTGCTGCAACATGAGGTTGAACTAGGTACTGAAAGCTGGTTTTCAAGTTAATTCTCCGTCTTTAGAAGTTGACACACTCCTTTCAACGCAGAGACAAAGTTGTTGTTATGTGCAGGAAAAGAGCACGAAGATGTTGTAGCTTTTTCTAATAATTAGGTGGGATTTGGCATACACAGGGTCTGCAAGGAGTGAAGTCAGTTGGAGGGGTTCATCGCTCAACTTTTAATGCTTGCATTTGGACTTGCGCTCTTCCTTGCAGCCGAGAAGATGCTGGGTGTTTGAGGATTCACTGGCCTCTAGTGGTGAAGCTGGGTAGTAGCGACAAGAAGCACCTGTACTTCGTTCTGTGCAAGCACTTGGGGGGGGGTATGTGTGCTAAAATGAAGCTAATATTACAAAGCACTTTGGTTTTGAACACTCATTTTGCCTAATGGGCTCCTGAAATAGTTGAAGGAGGTCCTGGACTATTATGCAGCAAGCCCCTGACAATATTGTATTTTTTTGCAGTGTCCGTTTTAAACCACATAGAGGTAGTTCAGGGATTTCGGGAATCTACAGTGCACGGATTGAGAATGACTGATTTTTAGATGAGTGCAAGTAAAATTGTATAAAATTAGAGTGCAAGATAAACCCAAAACTTAATGTTACAAAGCAACCAGAACTTAATCTTAAAACTTTAGGAAGAGATGACTTGAAACTGTTTGCTAAATTTGTATAAATGGTGCTACCTATGGGTCTGTTGCATACGTCCCTTCTTCTACTATTCATATAGAATCTCCTGTAAAGAGATTTTTTTTATAAGTGGACTGCACACTTGAATTCTTAGGGTGGTCTTTGCAGCTGGTCATCTCGTAACACTGACAGCGTACCTTGCTGCTCCACGGCTGCTTCTGCTTTTGAGTTTCACTGCTTGGCAGTGAAGTCTCTGTCTGCTATGCTTGTTCATGTGCTTTCCTTTCCCAGTCTTGCAGAAAACTTCTTAGTAGTGAGAGGCTCAATGTGATATGTAGCTCAAGCATCAGAGACTTAAGGGAAATTGATTTTAAAAGAAATTTTAAAGGATCAGCACTGGGGGCCAAACAGGTTGGATTTGGGTTTGGGTTTGGGATTTTTTTTTTTTTTTCGTTTGAGTTTTTGTCACTATAGTGGCTGTGACTCAATGAAAATGTGACTATTTGCCACAGTTTAATCAAGCAGCTTCCCTACCAAAAGATGCTTGTAAGCGCTTCTCGATTAAATGCCCGTTCCTTTGAATTTTTCCTTTCCTCTTCAAGCCTGCCTTCCCCATTTTCATTCCTACGTCTGTCTATCCTTAGTCTCAAATAATCTAGTTTATTAAGATTTAGGGTACATTCAGGCTGCTACCCACTTAACCACATTTTTGAGAAGGGAGTGGAGGGAAGGTGAAGTTTGCATGAGAGCTCTTGGTCTTTTCTTTTGATTATATTTCAGTCTTTGACAAAGACATTTATATTCATCTCAGTATTGCCATTTTTGTAAGTCATGCTATAGATAAATAAGTATTCGTAGTGTACCTTACGTAGCGTTCCACATGGGTGCCTCCCAGGATTAGCATTTTGTCTTTTCGTATGCTGAAACAGGCACTGCTACAGATTGCAGTTTTGGTTCACATCTCGCTGCAGAACCACAGAAGTAAAGAAGGTGGTTAATGACACATGCTAATGATTCCGGCATCGCGGTTTTCTTTTCGCAGATGTGAAAGGACCACCTACACACAGACTGTCCTGTGGCCAGTCCCCCTACACTGAAACGACAACATGGGAGAGGAAATACTGCATCCTGACAGACAGTCAGTTGGTGCTGCTCAACAGGGAGAAAGAGGTGAGAGAAACTCACGTCAGCCACTCGGGATTTACCTTTTGGCCTTTACTGGTAAAACAAGAAGGCAGCTTTTATTCATCTCCCCTTTATTTTGTTCACGATTTTAGTGAAAGGGGGCGGAAAGGGGCGCTAACCTATTCTATAAGCACAGTTACAATCCAGCAGGCCCAGATGCTGGTTGCATGGAAGAGGTGACAGCAAACTGTGTGCATCCAGAACTCCCTCCTGGAGTTTTACAGCCTGTGCTTAGGTCTGCCACTACCTCTTCCTATGTTATTGCTGCTTTTAATGGTAGTTAATGCCACCGCAGCTATGTAAACCTACCTCCTCACATCAGTGCAGATATAAAGGTGGAAAAAAGTGCGCTAAAGGTAGGGGGGAAAAGGGGTTGGTTTGTATTTGTATTGGAGTGCTGGGCAGTGAAGGTGCGTGCAACCTTGACACCATACAGTCATCCTTGCTGTAGTCACAAGGTAAATTGATTGAGACAAAGGTTTGCCCTCTCTCTTGCTAAATGCAGCAAGAAAGATTGGGTGCCCCTTGGCATGGATACTCAAAACTATGGCAACCATCTTTGCTTTAATTATAAAATTACCATGTTTGTGTTGGGGGTGTGTGTGTGTCGTGTAGTACTTGGCATTGTGCCTTGCCGTGAAGGTAATGTCAATAAGGTTAAAGAATAGGCATGTTTTAGTTGATTGAAATGCTGAACAAACAAATGCTGATAAGTCCTTTCTCCTAGACTACACCATGATATGTTTTTTCTTGTGATATTTGATGTCTAGAGACTGTCGTGAACACATGAGCTTTAGAAGCGTTTGATAACGCTTCTGGGTTTGTAAATGCTCCCAGGTTTGTTTGTTTAATTATTCTTCTGTAGATTTACCCTGTTTAAAAATAAATGTTTTGGGAGCAGCTCTACAATGGGAATGTTTTCAGATTACTGAAATAGATTTTATTACATATAAATGTCCATGAATTTGCATCTAATACCGTGGTTTACTGCATTTGGAGATGACCTGAATTTTTGTTGTTTTTTTTTTTTCTTTTGAAGCTTCTGTGTATGGCTGTGTACAGGCTGAGAGTATAAGACCCGTTTCTGATTTGCACTAAATATCATCTTCAGCTATGATGCAGTTTATTTACAAGGGCTGAAATACTTCCTTGCATAGGGAGAGTAGGAGGAAATGGTTTAGAGAAGGACTTGAGTTATTAGAAGGGAAAAACATCAATGCAAATGCGTAGGAGAGGTGATCAAACGCATGGAAAATGGAAGGCCCATATCATGATGTTTGTTTACTATGTAATTCTTTTTCTAGTCTGACAGGACTGTCACCTAAGGAATTAAAGTATATACTGAAGAAACTTAAAGACATATGAGAATTATTCCTAAAACTGTACTGTACCAGCACAGTGGGGCTAAAAGGATGCATCTCATTAAAGAAATGTAATTGAAAACAACACTGGCTCTTATCACAAATAATTATCTGAAAGTGGTAATCATGCACTTATGGGTTCTTAATTTCTTGTATCACATGCAGTTAAAAGCATTTTGCTTGGGAGTAAGATGAGTCTTTTGCTTAGATCCTGAGGATTAAGTATGGGAAGTCTTATGTATCACTGGTGTATTAAGTAATTATGTACTATGTTTAAATATGCTCTGTTTTATGTCAAAAGCTGGAGAAATTCAATATCGGGCTATACAGAGCCTGGGTTTTAAGTATAGCAGTTACCCCCAAAAAATCAAGCAGTAGAGTAAATCTTTGCAGCGTGCTCTCAAAGGAGCCTGCTTGCACTATCACAATGAGAAATAACTTGTTTGGGGAAATGCTGCATGCAGATGGGCCAAGCAGACATGCCTTTGGTGCAGGTGTGACTCCACATGCTGATAATGCGATTTGTTTCAGAAGCTAGTAGCTGGAGTCAGATTTGCCATTCTAATTTTAAAGTAATTTGGGGCTACTTTAAGCAAAAGGAAAAAGGGAACTCCTTGCAGAGTCATGAGTACCCTGTAGGAAAATAAAAGGTTGTTTTAATGTAGCTTCTGAGTCTGTACACATGGCAGCGTGCATATGAGCCCTTAAAGAAACGCAAAACATATATGAGTAGAACTGCTAGTTAAGAGAGAGACACAGAGCTGATGCTCTGGATTTGCACCTCCTAATTTTTCTGAAGTAGAAGTACCCCTTGTAGCTTTCATGAGAAAGGGAAGGGGAGGCGACACAGTTAAGTTTTACTTGGCAAGTCATTCAGAGTTGAAAGAGGCTCTATGAAATGTGATCTAGAAGTAAGAGTGAACAAAGGCCTTAGGCAGCAATGGGGAGAGATGCTTGGGAAGAGCATAATGATTGAAAAGTATGTAGGAGGGGAATTGAAAAAAGCCCATGGGTGGGACCACAGGTACAGGGAGCCTAAGCAAAATTCCAGGTGAATGAGGAAGGGGGAGGTTACTTAAAGAAGAAAAATGAAGATTATGTTTAGAGTAAAATTATTGGGAAGGTGATGCTCAGGGAGGTTTTTTGATAACCTGAAATGAGGTGAGATAGGCAACAGGAAGCTGAAGATGGAGAGGTTCCTGCTCTGAACATGGAAATTGCTGATAGAGTGGGTAGGTCAAAATTTCTTTGGACTGCTGAAGAGGATCTTAGAAACAACACGAGGGACAAAATGATACCCATCAGTAAGGGGGTGGGTGCGAGGGAAGGAGGAAGAGATGTTAACAGCAGAGTGCCCTTGCAGCCGAAAGGGAGCACTTGCATCATCGCAAGGCTGGTGTAACTTGAAAACTGTAAGTCTGAAGCATCTCATTTTATTCTCTGTGCATTTGCTTTGTTACTTCATGAAATAAAAATCCAAGAAGCTTAGCCTGTGTGAAATTGAAAGGGAATGGAAATGTTTGATGTTTGTAATACTTTGTAAAATCATTATGCAAGTATGTATGTCAAAGCCAAAAAGTAGGAAAACATACAAAATGCAAACAGGCAAATGAAAGATGTCTTAATTGTTTCTGGTTTCTTTCAGTTAATGCTCTTAAAATGCAGGATTATGAGTTGCACAGATTTTTAAGACTGCGGGAACAATACAGAAATAAACAGATAGTAAGAAAACTCTTTTTTTTTTTTTAACATCCTGCTGCTGTGGATTTATTGTCAACGCAGTTTGAGTAGAGTATGTGCAGGAGAGATTTTTGCACTGTGCAAGCACAAGACTAGGTAGGAAATCAGAAAAATTTTGAGGTACAACTTGATCCAAAAATATCTGTAATTACTTCGACAAAAATAGTCTGATGGTATCACCTTGTGCAGTACAGAAAAATATTAATTACTTGATACCTTGTCAACTTTATAAAATGAAAATAGGTGAGATTGAAGAATGAAGATTATTAATGAAGGGAAGAGATTGACGCCTAAAAAGTAAGTAGGAAGAAAATGAATCCCTGCAGGGACATGAGAGACGACTTAGCAAATAAGTAGTCATGAGTGAAAGGAGATGTGCAATTACTACAACATATCATGGTGTAGTAATATCGAGCAGCATCTTCCAAGACTAGGAGAACAGGTCTAGATTGATTCACTTACAAATCAGGTATTTTTTCTGCAAGGAAGTGTTTCTCACTGTAGGAAGGTATAGGTATTTTCATCATTTGTGAAGCCTGTTCCATAGGGTGAGAGCTGTGAGGGCACAGTAAAAGTGTCTGCAAAATCAGTGCCGTTTAAACAGGGAAAGGGAATGAGTTAGTATTTATGAAGAGCTGTTTCAGATAGATAATCCGTTGCACAGCACTTTCATGAGGGATGTGACAAATGGCTGCATCTGCTTTTGGGCTGCTTTTTAGTTAGTCTTTGTAACTTGGCTGCTGTCCTGCAGATTCTTTTAATTTTGTGTTCAGTTGGAAACGAAGCTGAACAGTTTTCACTGTGTTACACTCTTCCCTTTTCCTCCCTGCACCCAAAACCTCATCTTTCTTCTTGGATTTGGAGGTGTTTTTAATCAAGGGCGAAGGACAGTGAAGACCTACATCAACTGTGACAAGATCTACTACTTATTGGTGCTGGTGATAGAGGCCAGTAGCAGGACGTCTCTGATGCATTTTCCTCCTCTTCCATCTCCTGTGACTGACATCAGTAGTGGAGTGACAGTGGTGATCCCAAGAGAAAACAGCAAGAGCAGACACAGATGCATGGGGCCCCGGGGGAGGTTCTTCAGAAACGCTCTCTGCCATTCGCAAAAAACTTGTCACGTTGGCATCTTACAGCAAATATGTTTTACCTGTAAATAGAAGTTTGTCAAAGCTGAATCCAGTCATAAGAAAAGATTTGCTTCAATTCCCAAATGAATTGAATTATTTAATTTCCAAAAGCCCAAAGAAATGTTTGTTGTCAACACTTTTAAGGGGATTTTTATGTCAAAATCTTAGCCACCTTCTAACTTTCTCGAGGAAGGTAAAAATTAATTTTAATTATTTAACTTTTTTTAACATGTTTTGTTGACATGATTCCAAACTTTCTGACTATTAGTTCAGAAGAGGTTGCAAGTTCTCAAGTTTTTATCATGAATCAGTCTTTCCAGTCTCCAAAAATCTATCTGTGATGAAGAAACATCTTTTCCTACTTCTTTTTTTTCTAAAAGAGCCTGGCTCAGTTTGCCTTTAAGAGGCATTAAATGCTTGTAAAGCTCTTACTCCTGCTTCTTCCAAAATATTTCCATCATCAAACTACTAGAAATTGCAAATATAGCCTTTTTATACTTAAAAAGCCTGTTCAGTGGCAGGCGAGCTGCAACGCTTTTAAAGAGTTTAGAGTCCAAGCTCTGAACCTGTCCTGGTTAAACCTGGAAATTTGCCAGTGAAAAACGTGGCTTGTGACCAAAACTGTCAAGATTGCCAAAATAGCCAGCATCAGGACTGTCCCTACATACCTTCTTGTCCCAGAGTTACACTGCTCAGAGTCCAGCCCTGAGCCAGCAGCTTCAGCACATCAGCTCAGGGTCAGACGATTCCCAGGTTGGTGAAGTCTCAACAGGGCAATGAAGAGGATAACAAAGCTGGAGGGGGGGGTGGGGGTGGCGGAAAGAGCCGAAAGCCTAAATTGCCAGTAGAGTCCTGACTCTGCAAGACTTTGTCATTCTCTTTGATCTTTTGCTGAACTTCTTGTTGGAATGGCAGGGGCTGGAGGAAGGTCGGGAAGATTGATGGTGTCTGACGTGGTGTTTACATGGTATTTTGTTGTGCACTTGCTTATATTTCGGTCCCACCCAATCTGTGACTCCATTTGACCTACCACAGAGCGGTTTATATACCTGTCTGAAAACGTGTCCAGCCCAGAGTGATGCAGAGCTGCTGACAAAGATTTTGTCATGTGTTCATGAAGCTGTATTTTTAAGAGCAGACTGATCTTATGCTAAGCAGTAAATACTGGTCCTGCAGGCTTGGAATTAGTTCTTTTTTTTTGTCAATATAGACGGAGACTATGGTTTTGGAGGAGCGTTACTTAAAATAACACAGCACTTTTAAGTCAGACTTAGGGGGAATCTTTTTTTAGCTACTTTGCTGCTTTAATCTTGTCCGTGAAATTATGGGATGTTTGTATATTCTCTGGTGTACATCAAGCTACGGAGCATTAAAGTGTTGTTCCTTATACAGTTTATAGGATTATTGAGTGAAATAAGCAGTATCAGGTTTTTCCCAAGCCACTATAAATATGCTACCACACCAGTCTTTTGCTGGTGTGGACTTGTACTGCAGTAGACGAACATAGCTCCACCGATGAACCTTTTTCAGTGTACAGGCTAACCGTGTTTTCCTAGTCTGGGCAAATGTTAAGTACAAAAGGCTAAGTGACCCAGAATTAGGACCTGAGCTCTCAAGCAGTCTTCCTGTTAATGGCTTAGTTCCTCTTTGAAGATAAATCCTATCTCTGGTATGCAGAAGATTTGTTTTTGACACCGACTCCGGTGTGCTGCAGCCTGTTTGCTTTTCCCAAGGACAAAAACGACAGCCTGGCCTCAATCACCATTTTCCTCCTCACCCTTGGCAGCAAGTCAGTACATCCGTAGCGTCCTCTTGGCTATCGTCACTGTTCTCATATAAACTGTTATCACGGTGGTAGTAGCGCTTTTTTTTTGTGTCAGTGGATTAAAAGAATGCTTCTGTCATCCCATGTCCAAAAGCACACACAGATACTGAAGAGGTGTACTTAAAAGAAAAGGGATCATATTCATTTCCCAGTTAAAAAAAAAAAAAAAGTCTAATAGTGGGGAAATGTACCCTACAGGAGCTGTAGTGGTATAGAGCTAGCAGTTAGGTGTAGGTGCAACAAGTTCACTGAGAAAGGAAGGTCGCTTGATGCTTTTAAGGTGTGCAGAAGCAGGAAGGTGGTATGACTGGTAGCAGCTACTCTGGACATCCGGCTTGCAGCATCCCACCAAAAATGCTCTGAAGGAAATCAGGAGAGGCAGAAGAGGCAGTGGAGTAGAAGAGCGTTTGGAAAGGCATAAGACTACATGGAGCCTCCAGATGAAAACTGAAAATCTAATATGCCATCTTGATTGAATGAATGTGGCATAAACTAGCAAAATTAGTCTCTGCTTACCTTCCTAATATGCTCTCGCACATTCGTTAAAGGAGCTGTTGTAAAAGCCTACCAGCAAAGAAAGTAGCCTTAGCAGAATAACCTCTAGGGATTTGGGAAACTTGTTTTGAAAAATGAGCACTGTATGAAGGAGACAAATAGACTGGCGTAGGAATAAATAGCATTAAAAAATAACCTTAAGAGAATGCTAAGTGCTTAAAAGTCAGGAAATGCCAGAAGTAGTTTGTGAGAGCCATTGTAGTGCAGCCTGTTTCTAAAATAGTATGCTATCTTGTACATATTTCACAACCTTCAGTACAAATGAATAATATCTTTTTGTTTGCTATTAATACTTGGTTTTCAGAGATGATTGAAGATATGAAAGGATAAGCAGTACAGGAAGTGTGACAGGGGCTTCTATTCCTTCAGCTGCAAGCTGTCTTTTACATAGCTATATGAAAATAAATCGCCATACTGCACGTATCGCAGTTGTACTGTTGAAGCCGAAGTGTGCTGAGATGTTTTGGGCACTGAGAGGTTGTACCTACCTCCAGCCCCTGTATGCCGCATCTCTCCCTCATCCCTGGGGTTTCTTCCAGCTGTTGAATATAAGGGTTTAAGGCGTCCCTACCAAGTACGGGTTCCAGATAGAGTAACAGACACCAGACCAACAGCTTTAGTGATAAAAATTATCTCTAAATAACGTTGCAGTAACAAATACAGATCAGGAGTACGATTATCCGGGTTGTTACAAGAAATGCAGTAACTCAGTAGCACAATTATCCAGGTTGAAACGACAGCAAATCCAGTAATTCACCAGTACTGAGCATGCATTAATATCTGAGCATGCAAAGACCTACAAAACCATGGTTATAACCATGATGATCAGGCAGGCCAGCAGGATGCAGGGCATGGCTTCCTCGAACAAGTGACTTGGACCGGCCAGTGGGCTCAGGGAATTCTTGATTCCCTGTCTGGGGCATGCTCTTGTTGAGACACAGAAGCACTATCTGGACTTGTTATTCAACCATCACATCCCACCTCTGGCCATGCTCTGTGCCACTTCTTTGGGGCGCCTGGGGCCCAGAAATACTGTATAAGGCAGTACTGGCCCCAGGTGCCCACCCCTTGGTAGTGACTCAGTCAAGGAAACAGTAGTTATCGTGGGATAGTAATCTGAATTGCACCTCTGGTGAGCAGGTAGCAGTCTGAAGTTTTTGTCTGTCTCTGCAGACTTTCTATATGCAAAGTAACTGATGCTTGAATTAACCCATACTGATCACGTAAACAAAAGCGGGATGCACAAAGGAGTGGGCATAAATTCCTAAAGTACTAGGGTTCTCTTCCTTATCCTCCAAATCCCTTTGTACGTGTTTTTGGGGGTTGAATTAGGAGTACATCAGCCTCATTTCTTGTTCCCAGATATACAGGCTGTTGGCCAAAGAGACTGTATCACTTAGGCTGTTCCAGAGGTCTTGGCTGTTGTCTAAATGCCCTGCAGCTGTAGTTATAGGCAGCGCAATTTATCACTTTTCTTCCAGCGTAAGCACCTCTCTAGCAGAATGTAGTCATCCAGTCAGGTATTTAAAGGCAAGGTTAGCAGGGGAGCAAAGCCTGAGGGGTCAAGTTCTGCCAAAATTTCAGAAGGGAAACAAGATCTTTATACATCCAGTACTTTTAAAGAGAGTTAGCGTACAGAATTTTATTACTATGAAATAGTGAAGAGGCCAAGCCTTTCTCAGAGCCTTCTGAGGTCCCACTTTTGGGATGAGTTTGACTTAATCATAGAAGGTATCCCCTTTCTCCATGTGCCTGGTACGACCAGCAGAATGTCTGTTTTTCTCTGACATGCTGAATATGTGCTGAGACTGCAAAAATGTTTTTGTAATCTCAAAAGTTTCGCACCGGCAGCCGCTGCCTGACTTGCCCAGCGTGGAAGTGGGCAAGGCTGGGTAGCAATGAATCCAGCATTGGAGAACCAGTTTCGAAAGGCAGGACTGCCTTGTTAGATGGGTCATCTGTGTTGTGACTCGATACCCCTGGAGCGCAGGTTCCTGCACACCTGCATGCAGCCCTCTCGGGGCTGCGCACCCGTCTGCGTGCAGTAACCCTCCTCACTGCTGCAGTGCTTCCCTCCTGAGCCCGAGCCTCAGGAATTTCGTGGTAAGGCCGGGCACGCCTAACTGCGTCTGAAAAGTTATTACCAGATGAGTAGCAAATTAAGTTCTTATTAAGATGGCATATAAACAGCGTGGTCCAGTGGCATATTCACAGCTGTCGGCATCCTTTTTATGCAGGTGCCTATCGATGGGGTCCAAGAGCCGCAGGCGGATGCTACCAAAGGGCGCTGCCTGCGCCGGACAGTGAGTGTCCCCTCCGAGGGCCAATTCCCCGAGTACCCGCCAGAGGGGGCCACCAAACTAGGTAAGTTGAAACCTTGGCAGCAACAAATTGATTTTAATTTATAGCTGCAAGCTGTATCAGCGGGCACTGCTTCCCGGGCAGCATCCTTGCCAAAGGAGCCTGCTGAGGTGGGTAGCGTCGCAGCTAGGTGGTGATGGAGGTCGTGTGGCCATGGTGTTGCTTGTAAATGCCTCCAGCAAAATGACTTCCAGGATTTATCCAAGTGTCAGTGAGGTTATTATGGGGTACTAGAGAAGCTGGGCTGTTGCTGCTGCTGCACGCGGAAGGTTTGTAGCTGTGTTTGTAAGATTACTAGACAGCCCTGGGATTTACAACTGAGAGCTGCTGAATGCAGGCCAACAGGAATGCAGCTTTTGCAGATAGCTGTAAGTGGTTCCCACTGGTTTTGAGAACTGTTAGGTTTTACCTCACTTTGAGTCTCTCCGAAATGTCCTTTGCTTCATATTTTCATAACGAGTACTGGATAACAGGTTTTTCCATAACTTACTTCATGCCTGTTCAGGGTGCAGTTCCGAAAAGAACCAACCAACTGCTTGCTGCTGTTGGCTATAATTATACATGTTGAAATCTAGGGAAAGCAAAAGAAAGGGCAGGTATTAAAAATGAGAGACAAAAGCTCTGTTGTGGTAGTTTCCCAAGCCCAGTTTTGGCCCATTTCGCCTTCTATTTCATCCCACCCGTGGTTGCATAAAGAGCATCTTTCCTATTCTTTCCAGAAGAAAGGAAGAGTGAAGGGAGGCAGCAACCACACACAAGTGAACTCTTCTTCCTGTTCCAAACCTGTGCAGGAAACTTCCCTTGGCATAGGCTGATAGATGTAGGACCAATTCTTCCTTAGTTCAGCTCCAAAAAATATCAATCCTGGCAGAGTCAGCTATGAGGAAAAAAGTAATGTGCATCTCTATACAGTAAAGCAGCCTTGATAACATTATCAAAAATGAAGAGCAGGTAAGGTATTTTTCATTTCACAGGCTCAGCTGTTTTCTATGCCAAGGAATTTTATTCTGTGAGTATATTATGCACAAGTCATTAAAATCCCAGTCTTCTAGATAGTTAATTAACATTGCAACTGTAGTGCTTATTCATTTGTACTTGCCAATAACACTACTTAACTCTTCCTTATTTGAGGAAGGCAGATAGGGTTCTTTTTTTGGTTTTGTTTGACTAATGCATTACAAACCTGGAAAGAAACAGGGCAGGGCAGGGATTTAGATGGGAAAACTGCAAAATACATGGGGATGAGTGGTATAAACAGAAATCCTACTGGATTTGTTTGTGGCATTTCAAATGCAGCTCTAAATGATCATCTTGTTTTGCCATGTATACTCATTCTTGTTCACGACTAAAACCGGTATTAAACACATTTACACAGTGTTACAGGCAAAGTACTTATTCCAGGTGTGTGGCAAGTGACATGAATGAAGAATCATTTTGCAGCCAGTCTGCACCAGGCAATGAATGTTATTTGCAGCTTTGCAAGCTAGAAAGACCTTTAAAAGCTAGGATTTAAATGCCTTCTTTTTCTATACCATGTGCAAAAAAACGTGTAGAAGATTTTCTAGATTTCACTGAGCATCTGAATAACTGGAAATCCCAGTGTTATGGTTTTACATGTAACCTTATAACCTTCTTCATTTTTCTTGAATTGCTGTATAGAATGGGTGACTGTGCTATTTGGGTATATGCCTTACTATGTATTTTTTCTACAATTTTAGATGCGTGTGGCATCTTATAGTGTGCTCCTTGATGTACGCCTGACAAGAATATATTAAAAGTACAAGAGAAACTCATATCCACATGGTCTTCTCCATATGAGAGCTGCAACTGTAGTGAATATAAACGTCACAAAGTGTGTAGCTAAGGGAAGTGGGCATGCAGTGGGAGGGGAAGAAAGGCATGAGCTGGTGAAAAATTAAGCAGTGCCCATACTGTAAGGAAGGATGAGGCTAAGTGGGAGGGAGGGTTATATATAATCTCTGATTGCAGCACCCTAGGTAGTTACCTTGTTTTCACATCCTGGTTAGAAATAATCTCTTATCATGGTTACAGAATTTCTGCTAATAGAAAAAAGTCAGTTGATAGACAACAGTGGGAATAGCTTTGTGTCAAGATGTTGAGCCAGAGGACAAACCAGTGAAGGAAACCATTGAATATCTTTATAAAGAGAAAGAAACGGATGGTGGCAGCCAGAATGTATCAGCAGCAGTACAGATAACAACTGGACTAAAATAGCTTTGGAATGGTCACCAAAAGCTGAAAAGTGCAGCAGAGCAGCTGAAATATCTAGTAGAGAAATTGCTATGCAGAGCTGATAAGAATATCTAGCTTGTCCTAGGCAATCATGTGCATAACATGGCAAAAGCAGGCGTTGCATTTTATGATGATACCTGAAATTACTACGTGTAGATGAGCTCCTTAGGGCTGGGTGTAGTGCAGTTAAGACACAGCAATGGCATTTGCTTCTTTTCCTTAAGTAAGGTTGCCATACCTCTTGATTGATGGGGGGGAGGGAAATCGGGTCATGGAACTCCTTTTCATCTGTAGCACTACAGTTACACCTTGTATGAAACAGGAGTATCGTATGAGGTCAATCTTTTTGTTAATGAAGCAACTGGAACGGTGCATGTTCTTCAGGGGCTCTGCATAATCAGCAGTAGTACCCATTCTGCAAATTTCTGTGGCGTTCTTTATAGCATTGTGCACACGTCCTTGTAGCACCATTCCTAGGAAGTGTGTGGGAGAGAAACTACCCACGTTACAGCTGAGAAGTTGAAGCAAGAGATGTGTAACTCGCCAAAGGTCAGCATTGAGTCAAGTGTGCCTTACCCAAGGGCTGTTGTAGTCATTCTTGCTGTCTCTTTCATTTTTACCCTTGCTGCAGGGTTGGCTCAGCTGTTCACGAAGCCGCTGCT